TTTCTTGGGAGCTGACGCCTCAATTAAAAAGAAGTTCCCGACGTATGACCTCCCATTATTGAAGCCTCTTGAAGATATGGGGGTGACCGATGCCGACGTCAAAGATTCGATTTCCAGACTTGATGAATTGAAAAAGAGATGGGAAGAGGTGCAATGGACTGATGAGATGCAAAAAGAGTTCAACATGTATGTTGAGAGAGAAATGATGAAAGAAGAAATTAGTGTTTTGGAGTCAACTGTGAACAAGTCAAAGGATGTCATATTGAAGGACGAGTTAAGAGGAATGCGTCGTGTGTTAAAGCGACTTGGATATGTCAGTGAGGACGATATCATCCAAGTGAAAGGGCGTGTTGCTTCGGAGATCTCTGCTGGTAACGAGATAATGATCACCGAACTTCTGTTTAGTGGTGCGTTCACTCAACTCAACGCTGCACAGTCAGTTGCACTTCTCTCGATGTTTGTCGTCGACGCGAAACAAAACAAAGATGATACCCCACAAATACCAAAGGGACTTATTGATGCGTACGAGGCTGTTATTTCAACTGGAAAACGGTTAGTCACTGTAATGAATGAGTGTAGACTTGACATCAAACTTGAGGATTATATCCAGCAGTTCAACCCGTTGATGATGGACATTGTGATGAAGTGGTGTAGTGGTGTTACATTTGCACAATTAGTGAGAGAAAGCGACAAAGTGATGTATGAAGGAAGTATCATCAGAAGTATGAGAATGCTTGAGGAGTTGTTAGAACAGATGGTTTCCATTAGTCGATACATGGGTACTCCAGATTTGAACAACAAATTTGCTGAGGGTATTACCTTGATCAAGAGAGACATTATCTTTGCAGCCTCGCTTTATATTGACTGAGTTGATTATTATTTGTTTCTTGCTATCAATGCATGACTTTACAAATTATTACAACTGTAGTGAATCACAAAAAGATAAGCAAATCGATATTTATTTTTGAGGAGAAGCTTGTGGGTTCTGCTTTGCATACTCTTCCTTGAGAGCAACAATTGTTTTGTCCTGTTCTACAACAGTGTCTTTGAGTTCGGCTATTTCCTTTTTTAGTTTCTCAAGTCTTGTCTCAAGTGTGTCTTCAGTTTCAACCATACAGTACTGTTTGAGAAGTAAGTCCATTCCATCGTCTGATTGGTTCTCCTTTTTCTGTTTCTTTTTAAACATTTGTTTGAGGTCTTTGTCTTCTCTCTCGATGTCTTTCTCGTCTTTTTTCTCTTTAGGTTCTTCTTCCTTTTTCTCCTTCTCCTTTTCTTTGCCCTTTTCGTCTTTTTGTTCAAGCGATTTCAACTTCTTCTTTACAAGCTCTTCAAACGCAGACCGCTTAGTTGTCCCAACAAATGTGGGTGGAGACGGTTCTTTGTTGAATTCTGCAACAACATTTTCTGCTTTTGGAAAGACGTACTCAAAATTCTCCACTAAACAGTTCACAAAGAGTTTTTTGAAGTTTGAGTACTCGGGTGCAGGGTCAAACACACACTGATACTTATCCACCAACTCTTCAAGTATTTCAGAATTGTCGTCGTAAAGTTTGTGTAAGTAATTAAAAAGCAACACAACAACTAAATGTGACGGGTTATGAATATCTTCAATTGCCTTCTCTAACACTTCTACTTGATTCACAACACTCTCTCGCTTTAACGCGTCGATGATTTTGTCATTCACGTATGATGGAATTAATGGCGGGTTTAAAGCTTTGATGTATTCATAAATGATGAGATGTGCCTGACTGCAGCTTGTAATGTCGTTTGCATCGTCAGTTTCGTTTATCTTAGAAATGTCGTAACACCCGGGAACTATTAGATTGTCCTCTACCTTGAAGTTTTGGGCCTCAATGTATTTGAAAGAACGAATCAATGGGAGTGGCAAACACAATCCCGTTTTGAATATCGCAGTGTTGATTGGATAATGTGTTGTTCCAATGACTTCAACCAGTGGCGATATTTCTGTTATCCACATCGCCAATGTTTGTACATTGTTACACTCAAATTGGTAATACTCTTTCTCAAGCAAATCGAAGGTGATGACAATTTTTTGCTGTTCTATTTTGTCTTGTAAAACTGGGAGCTTCACGTTAGTTGTTTGCTGATTAAAATAAAAAAGAGTGACAAGACACAAACGTAACACAGCTTTGACGCGCGGAGGTCGATTTTAAACAAATCTTTTTTGAGGTCCTCATCCTTATAGAATCCAAGGGTGTTTCCTTTGATATTGTAAAAATACTTTTTATATTTCATCAGATTCGTTCGGACATCAACCCATCCGTTTGTGGGGAGTTTACTCATCTGTTTTTGAGTTTATTAAAGATTGCAAACAAAAACTTTTTTAATTCTTCAGTCGAAACCATTCATACAAACATCTTAAAATCTAACACATTTTATACTTTACTTCTTCTTTCATAAATAACTGTGGTTAAACTATTATAAATAGTTTAATTATTTAATAAATATAAAAAATGTCATTCACATTATTAGTTGGAAGTAAAGAACTTGAAATAATTTTAAACGTCAAAGACTCAACAATCTGATCTGCTACTTTTTGTTTGGTTAAAAAGACATATAAACAGTATAGTTTATTTATAGTTTATTACCATTATAAAATTCCAGTGAATTATTTTGATTGAATAAAAGGATTTGACAAACATCCTTTTATATTTTTAAACACCACTTCCTATTCGAATACAAAGCCACTTAACGTTTGGTCACATTCATCATGTTTACGATGGAACAGTCTCATGTTTGCATATGAATGTAAGTCAGAGAGGAAACGAGTAACACACAGAACATAGGAAAGAGAAAAAAGGAACTTAAAAAGTCAAAATGATGCCAAAACATTTTCATACCAATGACGAAGTTAATCCATCAGATTTTAAGCGTGTGTGTTTTGACCACTCTCACTCTTTCCAACATGATGAATTAGTGCTTGTGTCGAGATCAAAAGGGGGATTTTCATATGGATATGTCGATACTATGTGCTCTGAAATGAAGTGCCCTTACAATTACCAATATCAACACAATGCACTCTATTGGAAAGTTTGGCTCTATCGTTCCGAGACTAAAAGGGTTTACAAAGTCCTTTCTGCCTTCAAAATCGGAAAACTTTCTAAAGTTGATTCCATCCCAAATAAAGATGAAACCGAACTAACTCCTGATGAGTATAAGCAAGTGTTGTATGACGAAGAAACTGTACTTTCCTCGACAAGTGTAGTGTGTCCAAGTACAAGTGGTGGGTTGGTACATTGTATAGTTGTTGGTCCACAAGCACTCAAATGCCATTGCTTTGATCACCAGATAGACGGACTATCAGTTGATTATGGGACAACGACATCAGTGTTACCTTTAAGCGCGGTTGGTGTCATTTTATCACCAGAGAACCAGAAGAAAATAGTGATCGACGGAGCCAACATAGCGTATAGTAATTCCAATGGGAAGGTATTTGAGGTTGGTGTTCTCAAAAGCGTTATAACATATTATGAGAAAAGGAAATACCAAGTTACTACTATTATCTCTAACACGTTCACGGAAAGCCCGAAAAAGATGGAAACGGTTGATAAAATGGACGAGCTTAAAGAGCTAGTTATACAAAATAAGGTAAGTCTTGCACCTGCGTGCGACTATGATGATAGTTATTGTATCAATTTTGCAATTCATAATAAAGCCGTGATATATCAATGATAAGTATCGGGATCACCTTGAAAAAATACACTGACAGTCA